GATGATATAATACCTCTTTATGAAATAAAATATTATTTGCATCCTTCTTTCATTTAACACTTTAATTGTGAAATAAATTGGACACATGATAAAAAAAATTGAAGATTGAAAACATGATTTAATATTCATTCATAAACATTGGTACATTTATAATAGAATGTTCAATGTAAATTTACGAGGAATACGAGAAAATGAGTGAGGTGAAAAGATTGTAACTCGTATGAACTTGCAATGTTAATTGAAATTCAATAAATATGTTAACATAAATTTATGTTAAGAAAAATGTAAATAAATGGTCTTATGAAGTGGCTTTTGAATTTTTATAGCGTCTCTTTTTTCTCATGTTTGTTATGATTTTTTTCAATATGATAATTCAATTCAATTTATTTTATTAATACGTCATACAATTCCTATACTAATTTGGATTATTAGCTTATATACCAAGTTGATGAAGTATAATATTTTTTTCGTTGTCTTTTCAAAAAAAATTCAAATAGATTGAACATATTATTTTCGTTATAATATTACTTTGTGTATTATGAGTTTTGAAAATTTAAAAAACTTTATAACGTAATCAAAGAATTTGAACATCGCTATATTTACACCTACACTCAAATGAATAGCAACATTTCATGAAACATCTTCAATTCATAAATTCGAAATATTAGAGTGGTGAGTATGAGTAGAAAACTGATGAAAGTTTTTTTAGTTATATTCTTTTTTGAGTGATATAATAAAGTATGTTTTTTTGAGAAATTTTTTATATCATGTTTTCATTTAATTGTTTCTTGAGTAGCAAAGACTAAATATATATAAATAACCTGGGTGGACAAATATATAATCAAAGGTCTGTCAAAAAGCTATTTTTATACATAATTTTTTTTTATATTTGCTTAAAACAAAATATAAATAAAGTTCAATTCGAATTTTCATGGTCAAATTAATATTCAAATAAAATAAAAAAATTCAAATTCTTTTAATTTATAATTTCTTATGACCAAACGGGTGGTGTAATTTTTTTTATTTCGCGCGAAGCGCGGATAAGTTCCCTAGTTATAAAATATGCCCATATATTGGTAAAAATATAGGAATAATGAATAAAGGTGTGTTAATATATTGGTTTGATCTGGAACCAATATATGATAAAATAGTCACGAAATTGGTAAACATATAGGCACGTAATAATGGTTGTGTGTAGAAATCATATGTTTACTTTATATACCAACATAAAACAATAAATTGAAAAGAAACTAGTGTAGGTTAAAATCATGGTTTGAATGATAGCAGAAAAAACACACTCCGTTAATGTAAAAAATTTGGTTTACTTGAACTAAAAACTATACAAAACTTGGTAAACGTAATGGTATATATACCAAACTAAACATTGCATGAAATCAAATAGCACATATAAAAAAGATTTGGTAATGCTAAAACCAATTGTCATAATACTGGTTGTATAAAGTAATTCAAATGTTTGAGTTATATACCAAACTATAACATATATTGTAAAAAATTATAAAAGGTTAATATTTTGATTTGGATTGTTACCATAATTACCACATTCTGTTCATGTAAAAAAATTGATTTATATATGATAAAAACAAGGCACAAATCATGATAACGCACTGGTATACATACCACAGTAAAACAATGCCAGCAATAAAATAGCCAATCAAAAGTTGAAACTGCTATAGTTACTCTCTTCAGGCAATTCTTATCCTCTCGCATTTTGATGCTTCAAGAATCAGATCCAGAAATAAATCACATCAACAAGTTCAGTTTAATCCTCATTCCATAACAAAAACAAAACAAAGGGAAATCTCAATGAAGCCCCACAAGAAAACTAGCACTTAAAAGAAGATAAATTTTCAATCTTAATCACTGAAAGTGGAATTTCTCTAAATACAATAAAAATCAATTCTAAGGTCACATATATATCCACAATCTGAAATAAAAAAAATAGGACCATCTCTTACTTTTCCTAGCAATCAAACAGAGAAGGGAAAAAGAACTTAACGAAAAAGGCAAAATACAAGAAAAGTATCAACTTCCCTCACTAAAACACTGATTTCGAGGAAAACAAAATACACAAGTAGAAACCAAAAGCAAGAACGTGACGAAAAACTGAAAATAAAAAAATCACACGAAAACACACAAAACCATCGAAACATATCCAAAACGCAACTAAGATATCATCCAAACATAAAACAAGAGAATAAAATACATGAAAGTCTGTCTAAATAAGTGAAACTTTTTAGTCCTTCACCCTCCGAATTAACTAACCACCTTGTACAAATGCTTCATATTTACTCACAGTATCTCAATTTTCCTCTTTCCATATTCCCACAGTAATGCTCCATATCTCAGCCGAAGACTTTCAGAATAAAAAATCGACTTAGATATGTTTGTATCTCCACGACACACAAATTCAGCAAAGGAACAAGTATACATACCACAATCACTACAAAAAAATTAAGACAATCAGCAGATTGAGAACATTATAAGGTAGAAACAATCACAAAAAATAACTCAATATACTTACGTTGAAGTGTCATCTTGCTGAGGGATGTTATCACGCTTGCCATATACCAAAGGATCACCAACAAGCCTTTCCGAATAATGCACATATGTATTCCAGTCAAAATCTTTCCTTATACCATAATAATCAGTAGCAGCAAATTTCCCTCAAAGATTTTCTCTTTATCATTCGTCTTGGTATCAGCAACCAATTTAGTATTTTTTTGAACTTTGTAGGACGAAGTCGAATCAATAACAATATACTGCTTGATTTTGTTATCAGGCGGTTGTGTAAAGGCATTCAACTCATATGAAGGTCTTGAGCTTACGATGGGCGGACTATCAACACCCATTACTTGTTTATTAAGCCGAGGGCTCTTGCGGGGAGTCTTATCCATCGATGGAAGATTATATATCTGATCAGAGAAGAACTATGGTGATTTTGGTTGTAAAAGAAGGACTTGGAAAGATGGAAGGTTAAAATTTTGTTCTTCAAACGATAATACAAAGAAAGATGGAAGGTTGAAATCTGAAAAGAAGAAGATGGATTGTTTTTACTTGGAACAATGAATACCTAGGTAAGTACACCAACTTTATTGAAAACGTAAAAGGTTTTATCAAAACAGGAAGCAAATAGTTAAGATCACAATAAAACAATATATCATATACATGTAAACGTATATAACTGGGACTGTTTAGGAGAGATAAAATAGATAATTATTAAATACCCTAATTATGCTCCACATGAAAAGGCACATAATTAAACACCATAAAAAGATAAAACCGAATAGGAGAGAGAAAATTGGAAAAAAATACATTTAAATAAAAATTAATAATTATTTTGTTATCTATGTAATTTAAAAACTCTTTATGTAATTATATATAAATATATTGATTTTAGGTTAATTAAAGTCTTAAAGTGTATATTTTTGTAATTTTTCCTATAAATAAATTTAAATATATTTGTACGATCGCGCGAAGCACGATCAATTTCACTAGTTTAACATAATAGGAGATGATACTCCGGGATTATGGATATATTAGCAATCATGTGAAGTAATCACTTGAGCTGACTCTGATTTTTTATTAAGTTGTTGATCAATGAAAATTATTGAGACTAAGCTCTCTCGAGCTACAATTCAAGTTTTTAAACGAAAATATTACTCAACTTATTATGAAAGTCACTAAAGAACTTTTTGAAACCAAAAATCAAGGAACTTTACCTAAGTATCACGTTAAGGGGTCGTTTGGTAGAGTGTATTAGAAAAAATAATGCATGTATTAGCCTTGTGTATTACTAGTACCTTGTGTGGTACTCTTTTCCAACTTATGTATAACTAATGCTTGCCTTAGTTATACACTCTATAGTGTATTAAGGTGTGTATTGCTAATACCATGTATTTCTGGGTATTACCAATGCAGTGGTTTTAATGCATGCATTAGCATGATTAAAGACCCAATTGCTCTTCAAAACCTCTTTTACATCTTTTCCACCATAATAGTGGAGGGTATCTTTGTAAATTAATTTTTTTATGCAACGCATACTATTTTTTTATGCATCAAATCAAACGATCCATAAAGATAATCTATGTATGATTAAGACAAGCATAACTAATAAATGCATTGCTAATGCAAGCATTACTAATACACTCTATTAGCATTATTCTTATACACTCTACCAAACGACCCCTAAGTCATTTGGAGTAAACCAAACGAGATATCTTATATGATATAGTTACAAACAAAAAATAGTTCAATGATTTTTCATCATGCTTCGACAAAGTTGAGTTTATTTTTTCTTTTGTAATAAAAAAATAGTTTAGTGGCTTTGATAAAATAAAATTCGAGTGACCCTCCGTGAAACTAATCCCCCCCTGTGTACTTCAATTATCTCCCAAATTCTATATCTTATTATTAATGGTGGGTCTAAAGACTTGTCTGTAAAAAGGATTTAGATATGGAGATCCTTGATCCCTTTTTCTCATTTTTTACTAGTTATGGAAGGTTAAAGGTGGATCCATAATTCTTGAAACAATTTAAACTAAATATCAGGCTTCACAATTGGCTTAAACAGGACCTGTATAATCTTTATACACACTCATTTTTATGGAAAATACTACAACACAAGGAACCATTACTTTTCCCTTCATAAGCTGGAACAGAGTCACTCTGCCAAGGAAGATGATGGACTTGGCATAAAAATAACCAGGATACAGACATCAAAATCTATAACAAATATCGTATGCTAAAGATAGCCCAGCAGATTATCTATTCTGATGTAAAACACTTCAGCAAAAGGTGGCTGTAAACACTTTCTAGCATACCATGATTCACATGGATGTTCATGTCAACTACATTCGAAGATTTCCGCTTAGGGAAATAATGAACTCTAGTAGGAAGATGAAGGAACTAGCAAATCATTACTCAGTCTTGCTGTTATGAACAGCAAACTTAAAAGAAAGAAATGCTGACAAGGGATATGATCAAGGAAACAAAATTATATTCATAAAAGTGGTTATAACTACTAAGCATCCAACAACATAGAGATTTGACGAGAAAATTTAATAGTAATCAGAAGAGAGTTTTTTTTTTTGGATCGCTTAGTTAGTAATCATCAGATGGTTGCAAGAACAATACAAGGTTTGAAAGTGTAATAATCCCAAACATATCTATCTACCTAGTAGTAGTCAAGACATTAGATTTTCAGCCTCTATTTAATGAAAGAGTTCTGATACCCAAGAGCTTAAAGAATTTCATGCACTCCTGAATCCTTTGAGAAACTTTGACGTTCCCATGTCAGCCTAAAACCTGCAAAACAATGTCATGATGCAAGAAATTGACATGTTCAAAAATCCACTAATACGCAAGGGAGATAGAAATCGCACTATTCATTTAAGAACTTTCCTCTAAACTTTAGGCTTCCTCTTGCATAAATTAGATGGACTCTTCACAGCTACTGGTGTTTCCAGATAAATAGTCTGTCCGTTTATCAAGTAAAATAAGGCTCACTTTGTAAGTATTAACATAAAGTGCATCGCGATACGGCAAGAAGTTAGCATTGCAAATGCCAAGATTCTCAATTTTTTCAACGGCAGTATCATATGAAACCAACAATCCATTGTTCGCTCTCCACAACATTTGACCATTTTCCCTTGAAGCTATTGGCTTCACCAAGAAATGAGCAACCTGACGCTGATGACCACCATTTAACAACGAGAAAATTTCATCAACAATACCAACATTGAACGTAATGTGGCTATTGATACTGAATTGTTTCACCCATGATTCTGGATGACCATACTCTTTCATCCTCCAAATATCAATTGTTCCATCATCATCAAACAAACGATTAGCCAAACAAAGTGACTCCTCTGACACAAAAAGGTTGAACCAATTCGCACTAAACGAAAAACTCACAACTAAACTACCCGGTACCATCATCTCCCTGAACGTCTCGTCCTTCATATCAAACAGAACAATCATGATATGACAAGACACTCCTTGTTTCAATTTAGCAGCAACCCAATGGCAAGCCCCATTCACATAGACTCCCGGTATCCGCTCATAGAATTTAAAACATGGAGCAACATGAGTAATATCTTGCCAAACACCAGTGCTCAACTTATAAACCTCAACATGTGGTGGTACTAGTAAACCACCCATATAATCATCAGTGTGTACTATTCTTACCACCTTATAGTCATTACGAACAGAATCATATCCAAACCCAAGAGTATGTTGAAAGGGACCATGTGTCTCAAACGTAAAAATTGATTTGGGAAGTTTTACTGACTTTCTTATAGATGGATTCCAAAGATAATAAACATCCCAATATCGAGACAGATCGTCAGAAAGGCATAAAAGTCCATTACAACTACCTATAATATTAAACTGACTTTCAAACGCATCAAATGGCACATCAAATTGAACATACTGATCAAAATTTTCATTGTCATAGAATAAAGCATACATTTCTTTTACAGGTTCTTCGGAGCAATGGCGTACTAGCGAGTAATCATCATCTTTGTTGTTGTTGTTAAGGTGTATGGAGATAAAATTAGGGCTAGTAATGAGAGAATACCATGATTTGCAGACGCTTGTGCACTGAATGAGGGATTTTGTTGGTAATCTTAGAAAAATTTCAATCAATACTTCTTGCGGTAAATACTCAGACATTTTTTTTGAGCATCTGAAAATCACTTCTCAAATCTCAACACCTTTGATTTCCTTTTCTTCTGAGAAGCAAAACCCTAATGCTTTGCTTTCTTGTATGTGTTCTCTGACATAAACCCCTTTTTAAACCGCAGTGAGAAAATGACCAATGTTATTTATTTATTTGTTATCTTTTTCTAGAAAATATTGAAAACACACCTAAACTTAAATTCATTGTAAATTACTAATTTCTCCTCGAAGTATTGGCAGTCTTAAAAATATCTTTTAATTTGAAAAAAAAACACAAATATACCTCTAAACTATCATAAATGGTATGCGTTGTCATATTTTTAGGACATTGGTGCGCCTGCCGTCCAAAAACTAGAGCATATATGTCCTTCACTCTAACGGAAGACTAAATAGGTACACGTAGCATAATCTTATCCGTCGATCCGACATTTAATAAATGTCAGTCGGTGGATAAGATTGTGACACGTGTATGTCAGTTAGTATAAAATGTATATATGCTCTAGTTTTTTTACGGCAGGGGTACCAATGTCCTAAAAGTATGACAAAGGGTATCTGCATACTGTTTACGATAGTTCGAGGTATATTAGTCCTTTTTCCCTTTAATTTGATTAGATGAACTGAAATACACCCTGATCTTGCAATATGAAGTTTAGCGGTGTTTTCAATATTTTTCTCAGCTTTTTATTAACAGTTCATGCTTCTACAAAAGTTTGAGACCACTTACTATGTGGTACGGTAAATCACGGATATATCTAAATTTATTTAATCAAGTAAAAAGATACTTCTAAAGTTGTCAATACGAAACTAATAATTTGTAATTTAAACATATTTTCAAATACCTTGTCTCTTTTCCTTTCTAACCCCAAAACATTACTGAATTCCGATGTGGAAATAAAATGTTTGGTAGTTTTATTATAATATGAATTAAATTGTCTCTAGATTATTTAATGTCTTTGATTTTATTTACACTAAATAGATTGGGATAAAGTTTCCAATTTAACCATGACTTCCTTAAAGGATTATAGGAGAAGAGCTTTCAAAAAGGATATCTTATCATTTTGGTATTTTATCCTAGTACTAGGATACATCCTTTTCATTTTGGTAAATTAATAATTTTCGCAATTGTTATCCCACACTAAGTGTAACATAAATAATTTTGAATTAAATTATTTAATCATATATAGAATAAAATAATCTAATATTTTATTGTTAGATTTTTACTCTTTACTCTACAAACCATAATTTATGTAGTTAACTCATCTACTTAATGAGTGTTTGAGAACACGTGCATAATTTTTTTCCAAAATTTGAGTCAAAAACATAGTAAAAACACTTTATTATGTAGTTTTGAAAGTCTAAATGAAATAACTGACAGATTTAAAGGGTTGTTGGAACATGTTGTAGTTGAATGTCTAAATGAAATAACTAACAGATTTAAAGGGTTGTCGACGTATTTTGCCAAACTCATGCTTATAGTGTAGAGAGATACTGATACTTCATTACTCCAAAAAAAGAAAAAGAAGACTAACACAACTACTTCTCAATCATGTGGAGAGTGAGAAAAGAGAAACAGGGAGGAGGTAACATAACTTTTGTAGAATACAACTAATGATAAACAAACTTTACCTTTACTAACTTATTGCAACTCAGTATATAGAAGATGAAAAAAAATTGATCAAGTGGAAGAAGAATCTATATAACAAAAATGGAAAAACAAAACACATATTTTCCTTTCTGGAATACATGCTGAAATAACCTTCCATTCATCCTTACACGCTGTACAATTGATCAAGTATCTTAAGAAGAATAGGTTTCACTTCTCAAAGTCCCTTGTCGACTATACCTAGCCAACAAGTTCCAAGCAAGCAAAGCAGCTCCAATGGCAGGTTCCACCTAATACCGAAGAGTTGAGGAAATGAGATGTGTAATGAGCCTAGTGATGTGCAATTTAGCAGAACCAGTTAACATTTCACACATTACAGGATATCGCGTTTTGGTAAAGTTTAACCTTTTTATTTTTCAATATGAGAAATTATATTGAGCATAATTGAAGAAAATATGCTTACCTTCGGACAAATGGGATGAACCCCCGGGAAGTCCTTGCATATGCAGTTAATGACTTCTCTTCCTATATCCCATTTCTTGTTGGCTTCAAGAACACCTCCAACCATAACAAGAGGAAATGTATCATTTCCGTCTACAGAGAATTTAATTCAGAAATCAACTTGTTAGTCATGCCTGAAGACAATTTTGTGCAAGTGATGAGTAAGACAAGTTTGATGATGCAATAGAAAGGAACATTTTTGGGGAAAATAAAGAACTTCTAATAATGAAGTCAACTAAGGCACACAATTTCTTTAGCACACTGGATTGCGGCTGAAACAACAAGTATGTAATAATGACTTGTCAAGTATGCTACATCTTGATAAATCATAAATCTTATTTAGACCTAATAAATCACCCAGCAGTTTCAAAACCAAAAAATATATGACACTTAAGGTAAAGAAGATTTTTCTCCCAAGGTAGGGGTAAGGTCTACATACACCCCACCCTCCTTAGACCCCATTTTATAGGATCACACTGAATATGTTATTGTTGTATTTATCCTGTATTGTCTACCAACATATTCTGTTAAAAAAATTCTTAGGACTTAGAGGGATTCTTTTGAAAGCTTAAGTTATAGTTAACATTTGGCTTTAAAGATACAGCTAAACATATCATTGTCTCCTAATATTTGATACCTCAAAAGTTAAAACATTATCCTAGTTCTTCCCCTTTAAAAACCTTTAAGTTGGCATTGGCAACTCCCACATAAACTTTAATCTGATGCAACAAGCACATTCCACTAGCTTGACATCAATTCTCAATCAGATGATACCATTCTCTACATGATTCAAAATCAACCGTATAATTGAGGAAGTCCATTATTTGGAAAAGTCTAAAATGATTGAACCTGTAAATATTTAATAAATGCAATCTCAAGAAAAAACTATAAAATTGCAAATTGCAATTGCTTCAGATCACTACTATTCCTTTTTCCAGCACCACACTTCTCAACTATGACTTTCTCTTCTAGGCACGATACCAGTCAAGCATAGAGTAGCAAAAGATTAAATCATGATTAGAGTTCTGTTATATATAATATACTTCAGCACAATTCACTGCAAAGTCATATTTTCAGAAGAAGAAAACACATAAACTGATTTATCAAAATTTTTAAGGCTAAGTTCAGTTCTTGGAGGTAATAAATATGGAGAAACTACTACAGATACATACAGAGATCTAGATATGGAAGATATCAAAACATTTTCATGTAACTGCAGCCCTAAAAGGCAAATCACTTAATCGATTGACAGCATACCTTCACCACACAACTGTAGTCTTCTAACAACAGCTTTAACACTGGAAGCTAATTCTTGAACCGCATCTCTCAATATCTTATTTGCTACTTCATCACCTCCCTCTGCACAAGTCACTACCACTGGAACAAGAGCCGCAATCCGAGCCCAAGATGGATCTGAATAGGTCCACCTGAAAATTAATGAAAAAATGTTTTGACCCAAAGAGCTCTTGTGCATACAAATCCGATAAGCCCCATGAAGGAGCTATGAAAAACAATAGAAGTATCTAAACAGAAAAAACAAATCAAGAAGATCTAACTTAGTAGTTCAAGGTATTACTATTATTCTCAAATAGAAGATTAGAGCAACTGCCTGTCAAGAGCATAAGTTACTATATATATGTTACAAGCATGTTGCAAGAAATGATATATCCCTTCAGGACTATGTAAAAATCAGCAAAGACATCCATGACGTAGGATAATGCAAGATATGAAAGAAAATTTTCTTCAGGCTAATGAAGACATGAATATATATGGATGCATAAAAAAATCAACCTAGAAGAGATAAGAGACTGCCATAGTTTCCCTATAATGGACGGATAAGTAAAAAGCATGATAATATTTTTATATTTTACTCAAAAGTCTCAAACAGGTTACTACAACATTGTCTCCATGGTAGTGAAAACTTTGTTGATGAAGAATATTATCTCAGAGCATGCAGAGTCCTATTTAGAATCAATTTGCAACCTCTACTATATGTATCACAAGTGCTTGGATCATGAAAAAACAATTCGGCAAACACACAAGGGACACATGAACTCCTTTCCCTGCTAGATAATTTTAAAGATGAGAAATGGTATTTTGATTAATCAAAAAATGGATTATATTTTAGACGTGGATAACTAATAATCAACATAAACAAAAGCTTGCAAAGTTAAATATACAATATCGTTATGCATATATACTATGATAACTGGTGAATGTTTTATATATTGTTCCTTTGACATCCAAGGTGTCAAGATCAAATGTGTTCCCTATGCATTTAAAAAGAAAAACTCTTTGACAACATGAGTAAAGTCCACAAATGTGCATGCATCTTTTCGATAACAAATTTTGACAGTATGAGCTACTGTTTGTTCATGTCTTCGAGGCAGTAAATTATTTAAAAGAATAACTGATTCATAAGAGAAGTTGATGAGATTAGTGATTCAAGTTTCGATGAAGTACCCAATAAGCTCATCAGGAGAAGAAAGATCCAGCTTCCTTAGAATACTTGGCGTAAGTGCAGTGTATGGACCACGACCATCATAGGCTCTAACTGCAGCAGTCAATGCCTGTGCAGCTATACCATATCCACTGCATGTGAACAAGAAATAGATCCTTCAAATTTAACCAAACAAAGAAAAAGTACAACAATCAAAAAATTTAAAAAGTCATTGCTGCCTAGGTAAATCAATAGGACAAATTTAGAAAACAAAATTATCTCAAACTGGATCAAAACAAAATGTGCACTACAGAGCCAGGTAGTTTGAAACAGCATAAAAAATGGAAACTTAAAAATGACAAGGTAATGGAATCTGGTATGAGGTTTGGAAGATGTAGCCAAACAGATAACTTCCACTAGGAATTCTTTAAGCTTAAGTATGAAACAGCAGAAAACTAGGGGGGGAATCTTCAGATGTAAGTGCCCATGTTGTCAGCCAAATATCTCAAATGAAGCATCATTAGCAACAACTTTTATTGCCTCTCAAACGTTCACAGT